TTTTTACAATAAAATAATTAAATTAAATTAAAAAAAGTAAAAAATAAATAAATTATGTTTCACTTTTAATTATAAGTGAGATAAATAAATAAAAAATATGAAGAGTTTTTGTTATAAATGACCCACCATTAATAAAATATTTTTATTTGTAATAAATTTAAGTAATTTTTTATGATATATAATTTTTTTTAAAAAGAAAAAAATGGAAAAAGCTAAATGCAAATGGAGGCCATATGGAGGTGCCACATCACCTCGTCCTCATTTATATATATATATTGATTTCTATCACTTAACATTTTTTAAAAATATTAATTTTCTTTTAAATCAAATACATGAATGAGTTTATTTTTAGTTTAAAATTTTGTGAGAATAAATTCACAAAAACTACTTTTTTTTTTATAGTTTTAATTTATCGTTTAATAATTTATTTTAACATATATAGTTATAAATAAACTCATTGAAGTGTAAGTTTAGAATTTTCACAGTAAAAAAAGTGTAAGTTTTTTATTTTAAAATATGGATAGTGTATTTAAAATTGAATTATAATATAAAGTTTTTAATATGTTAATTATTTCTATAAAAAAATATGAAATTAAATTTCAAAAATAGTGTTTTTTTCTATTATCTTATAGAATTGCTTTAGTGGTGACATAAAAGTAGATACGTATTCTTCTTAGTTTTTCTTTTTAATTTACTACACATTATAAATATCTTTAAAAAGAATTTCTTTTTAAAAAAAATTTACTCCACATTTTAAATATCTTTAAAAAAAAGCGAGGAGAATTAAAAAAAAAAACTAAGGTAAAAAGGTAAAATGAAGAAAAATGCATTTGATGAAGAAATGGGCAAATCACATGAATCACACTAGTTTAAGTCTTAATTACTAAGATTCTCAATAATTTCACACATTGCTTCTTCTACCATATTTCATACTTGGGATACATGAAAGATAGGTTTAGCGATAATTAATTTATAATAGCGATATAAAATTTATTTATTTAAACTAATTGGTTGTAATTGATTTCCATAATTAGAGGAACAACTAAGGAATTTCAAAATACATAGATAATTAATTTCATTTTATTATTCTTTGAAATAGTAAATTCATTAATATTATTATATAAGATAAAAACATGTATATCTTGGTAATGTAATGTGCTTAATTTCAAATTATTACTCTTAAAATAATAAATTCATTAATTTGTTATATCTATTATCAATATATGATGTATCCAACAAACTAAACACTTAGATACATGAGTATCATACAAGTACATTCATAGGTATCATAAATTTATCTAGCATTAATTTTATGTATTTGTAATACGTATCTAGTATTAATTTTATCTATCTATTCATATATATCTAATATTAATTTCATGTATTTGTTATACGTATCTAGTATTAATTTTATGTATCTATTTATATATGTCTAGTATTAATTTCATGTATCTTTTATATGTATCTAGTTTTGATTTGATGTATCATGTATCAATTGCATATGTTATATCAAAAAAACATGTATCTTGAATACATAGTAAACATATACATCTAATTATGAGTATCTAAATTATTACGTTATAATTAGAAACATGTATCTCGAATACATAATAAGCATATACATTTAATTATGTGTATCTAAGTATCAAATGTATCTAAACACAACAAAATCATGTTTGTAGAGTATTTGTCGTATCATTAATATCATCGTGTTGTTAAAAATCGTGTATCCAATATTTAATGGTGGATAATACATATACATGTTCATATACCTCATTACTAAAAATACAACTTGAATCTTAATTAAATTACTACTTATTGGATACACATATTTCAAGGGCTATATCAAAGTAATATTGGTACTACCACATCCATGACACATTAACCAAAGAAAGCCTTAAAAGAACACCAGCAAACAAAAACTCACTACAATACTTCCTTTTATCCTTTTACGTTCAAGATTCACTCTGAATTGAAAGTTTTTTTCTGTAGCAGTTACTTCAATTTGATCTCGTTATAAATGAACAAAATAATATTTGGGTTCATGAGAATTTATTGACAATGGTGATGATATCTTGAGAAGAAAAGAGTAGACTAGCTATTGTTGGAATGAAATTGTACGTTAAAATTCTTGAATCAAAAAGGAGCATACATAATTGAGTGATAAATATGGGAGAGGAGGATAAAGAGATAGTGATTGATTTGGAGTGAAAGAGTTAATTAAGCAGATAATTAATCAATCATAATTTTAAGGGATGTGGTTATCGAATTGTATTTTCAAATAAAATATTAATATATGGTATAAAATATTTAAAGTGGTAATATATGCAATTGTTTGAAAGTAAATATAATATTAGTATATATAATAGTGATGTATGTCTAATAAGATAGTTTATCCTTATTAGGTGGGTCCAAAAAATTAATCTTATCAAAATAATAAACGCTTTATACAATTTACTAGAAAAGAGTCAGCCTTAATTTTATTTTGTTATTTTGAACGAAAAAGGCTATAACTGTCTTTTCAAAATTCTAGCAAAAATTTTATGGTTGTTTAGCATATAATGCATTGACTAACTTTGTGCATTCATTAAGGTTCACAAAATCAAACCCAATCCATCCAACCCATTTAATTTTGAACGAGTTATTAACCTGTGTGTTTTAGGATTAAGTTGGCTCTTGACTCATTCTATAACTCGTTGCTCAACCCTTTTTGATCCAATCAAATTTGGATTGAGTTGAGTCATGACCTAGTTTGTTGTCTTGACCTACTACGACCCGTCCAAATTTAATCCAACTCGCTCAATTGTCACTTCTAGTTATATACTCTATTGCGTATTAAGGTGTGTATTACTAATACCATGAATTCTTAGGTATTAGTAATGCAATAAGATTTTAAGCATGCATCAACATGGTTAAAGACCCCATTGCCCCTCAAAGTCTATTTTACATTTTTTCTTTCATAACTGAAATGGTATATTTATAAATAATTATTTTTAATGCAATGCATGATATTTTTAATACAACAAATAAAACAATGCATTATAAACAATTTATGTATGATTAATGCAAGTATACTAATACAAACACCATCAGAGCATCTCCAACCCAAACAATAAATTTTACACCAAATCACCAAATATGGTGTAATCAACTCCAATCCCATGCACCAAATTTTATATCAAAAAATATTTTTTCTCTCTTCATTATTATATTATTATTTATTATTTCATTTATATTTTCTTATTCCTTTTATAACGTTTAATATAAAATTATTTTGTGCCATAATTTTTATATAATATAAATTGCTAGCAAATATTATACATTATACATAATAATTGATAATATAAATAAAAGTGAAATCATTAATGAAATACAATTAACTAAACATTACATAATTGAAAAAATTATTTTAAATTATACATAAACATTCAACTTTATACATAAATATTCACTACGGTGCTTCCATAAATGCTCTATTAATGCATTAGTAGTTCAATATGAGCTTTTTGTCCTTTATTTTTTTTATATCGAGCTAAAAACAATTGAAATTGATAATTTTCATTTATCGCCATTTCTACTGTCGGAGTTGGACCTTCCGGCGGATCTTGAACTGGTGCACTAAGATCACGCTTATCCTCAATTGTATTATTTGTTTAAAAATTTATATGCTTGCATTTTTTATTTTTGTCAACATTAATTGTAGTTTATATAATTTATAGTAGAATTAATATAAATTTAATTTTCTTAAAAAGTCTTAGATAGAAAAATTAATTTATAAAAAAGCTAAATTTTATATCTAAAATTAATATTATGAAAATATCACATAAAAACAATTAAAATATACAAGAGATAACATACAATTTATATAATGTTTTATTAAAAGTTTGTATAATTAAATAATATTATAATATTCAAAAAGTTATTTGGTGTAATGATAAGTGTTACACCAAATTTGGGTAACACTATTCACACACCAAATTTAGTGTGAAAATTGATGTGAGTTGGAGATCAAAACACCAAATTTTACACCAAATATAAAATTTGATATTGAATTGGAGATGATTTTAATTGTAAACATTACTAACTCATTTTGTAATATTAAACTTATACGCTCTACCAAACAACCCCTTATATTTTCAATTTAAAAAGTATATGGTGTAATTATATTTTAATTGATAAAGGAATATTAAGAAAAAAACGTTATTGTCCACTTTTATATTAATCAAAGGAGTTTTTAAAAAAGAGAAAAAAAAATTCATTTTGGAAAATAATGTGTTTAAAAAGAAAAAAAAATAATTATTAGGAAAAGTAATAATATCTTTTAAGATTATTTGACTAAAATATTAATGAAGTCAAACTAATATTTTTTATTTAATTAATATTTTTGTAATGAAAGAATTTTTTTTCCATTTATAGACCCACAAGAAAATAGAGGGAAGACTAAAATTTGAAAATTTGACCTAAATTTTGACACCAATATTTTTTTATCGCGAAAACATCCCCGCGTCGTTTGGGCATTAGTCTATACCCCTTTTCTCTCTCTTTAAATACAAATCTCCAATCGTCTCTTCTCTTTCTGAACGCCTTCTTTCTCTCTCTTCCTCCTCACTTTCTCACTCTACTTTGCTTTCTCCGATGGCGCACGATAGCGATCTCCCTTGTGACGGCGATGGTGTCTGTATGGCCTGTAAAGTGAAGCCATCGGAGAACGAATCGCTCATCTGTAAGACTTGTGCTACTCCATGGCACGTCAGCTGTCTCTCTACTCCTCCCGATTCCATGGGAGACGCCGTCAACTGGGAGTGCCCTGACTGCTCTATGCCTCCCGCCGCTGTTGTTGTGCCTGTTAAACAGAATGCTGTTGCTACTTCATCTTCTGAAGGAAGAGGAGATTTGATTGCGGCTATTCGGGTCATTGAATCTGATTCGACTCTTACCGAGCAGGAAAAGGCTCAGAAACGACAAGACCTTATGAGCGGAAGTTCCAAAGACGAAGACGTGGCTGTTGAAGGGGCTAATCAGGACAAGGATGTGCTGAATATTCTCGATGGAAGTTTGAACTGCTCTATGTGCATGCAACTGCCTGAGAGACCTGTTACGGTATATCTTGATATCTGTTTCTATTTTTTAAAATGTTTTAACCCCTTTTTGCTTTTGTATGTTTTATGGTTCACATTTGTTAATTGAAACATAAAGTTTATGCTTTACGTACTTTTAATTTCAAAATGCTGAATGCCTCATTGATATCTCGTATGTTATTTGTTTGCAATAGTCGTTTCTGTAAATGGTGACTTATGCTTTTTTTATTTGTTGTTATTTGAGCACTAAAGTATTGGGTGTGTACATGACTTTGAACAGCTCAGGCCCAACAGATTGGGGATTAGGATTATTTTACTGACTTGGTTGATCACTTGCTTACAAGTTATCTCAATCCTTTTTTTTTTTATAAATATTCATTTTCTTTTCAAGGAGTAGTTAACTTGCAAGCTTTATACAGGTCTATCTAATACTGTTATTTATCCATGTCAGACACCTTGTGGTCATAATTTTTGCCTGAAGTGCTTTCAAAAGTGGGTTGGGCAGCGAAAGAGTACCTGTGCTAATTGTCGTACTCCTATTCCAGCTAAAATGGCAAGCCAGCCTCGAATTAACTCCGCTCTGGTCATTGCCATTAGAATGGCAAGAATGATGCGGTCTGGTGCCTCTAGCGGGTCATCAAAAGTTTCACATTTCGTTCACAACCAAAACAGACCTGACAAAGCTTTCACCACTGAGCGTGCAAAAAAGACTGGAAAGGCTAATGCTTGCAGTGGGAAGATTTTTGTTACAATCCCTGGTGACCATTTTGGACCAATTACAGCGGAAAATGATCCAGAGCGCAACGTGGGTGTTATGGTTGGTGAGACTTGGGAGGATCGTTTTGAGTGTCGGCAATGGGGGGCTCATTTCCCTCATGTGGCTGGTATTGCAGGACAGTCAGATTATGGGGCCCAGTCTGTTGCACTTTCTGGTGGTTACGAAGATGATGAAGATCACGGTGAATGGTTTCTCTATACTGGAAGGTAATGAGCGCCCGTTTTTTTTCTTGGATGCATGTGCATTCTGGCTTCTATTTGAACTCACCTGTGTACAACTTGTCCACTCAAAATTTATGCAAGTATGAATCCCACTTGTGATGCATATTTCTATGTTGAATTTCTGTTCTTCATTTCTTTTGTGTTTGTGAACCACAATTTTACTTGTAAGATATCCACACATTGTAATATCGTGTTAGTTACTGTTTGAGTAATTAGTCATATGACCTGAGACTGAATTTGGTCCATGAACGATCTTCTTCATTAAGCTGTTTTTTCCTTTTAGTTTTTTCACAATTCTGTGCGGTTATTTTTAGAGTCTTTTGTTTGCTTAAACGTGACTGATAATTTTTTGGACACACCCACCCTCTCAAACCCCACTTGTGGGACTACATCTGGTTATGTTGTTTTAATATCTGCTGCTGGTTTTGTGCTGTGAGGTGCTCTTCTAACTATTTTATGTTGATTTGTGTTGGATAGTGGTGGAAGAGACTTGAGCGGTAATAAGCGAACAAACAAGCTACAATCGTTTGACCAGAAATTTGAAAAGCTTAATGAAGCTTTACGTGTCAGCTGCCTCAAGGGTTATCCTGTCCGAGTTGTGAGGTCAGTTACCGCCTTAAACTCGTTGAATTATTAGGTATAGAGCTATAACAAGTTCTTGCTATTCCTTCTTTGGATTGGAAATTGGTTGATGATATATTGTTGTCTTATGCTCTCATTGGCTGGTCCACAATGTATATGTAGTTTGCTTAGCAAAGTTTGCATGATTAGCTGATGTAGATGTTATCAGTCCTGTCATTCCTTCCACAATGGTTGTTTCTCCAATTTTTTGGTAGTAGAAAGTAGTGTGATAAGTGTTCTATATTGTATTCCATTTTTTTTTTCTGGATGATACTTTCTGCTATTTAGCATATCTTGTCCTGTGACAGCAACCTTATTTGTCAGCATCCACTAGTTGGATTAATACAACTCGTTTTGTATTTCAATATCCACATCAAATATCTTTTTCATTTCCATTGGGAGTTTATTTCTTAGTCACAAGTTTTATCTATGTCCATTCCAATATGTATAGGTCCCACAAGGAGAAACGCTCTTCGTATGCACCAGACAAAGGAGTACGATACGACGGGGTCTACAGGATTGAAAAGTGTTGGCGGAAACCGGGAAAACAAGTTGAACTCTTGCTCAAAAGCTTCATGCATCTGTATCTTTAACTTACTTTTGTCACTTATTTACATTACATTTACTTTTGTGCAGGGATTCAAAGTTTGTCGATACCTTTTTGTGCGCTGTGATAATGATCCTGCACCATGGACCAGGTCTCTTATTGTGTCATTTTTACTTTGTTATAATGTCATCCCCTTCTATTTGGGCTTTCATCATGTTCTTGTTCACCTTGTTGTATATATTGGCAGTGATGAACAAGGTGACCGTCCTAGGGCCTTACCTTCCATCAAAGAACTAAAAGGCGCCACAGATATGACTGAGAGAAAAGGATCTCCAGCCTGGGATTATGATGTGAGAAGTTTTAGAATCTCCAGTTGATTCTTTCCTTTTTGTAATGTAGCACATTCAAAGGATGCTGTCTATCTGATTATTAATAACTTTTTGCCAATCGAATTGGTGATTAACCTTTTCTGTAAATGCAGTGAAATGTTTTTTTATAAACTTATTGATATGCAAAGCATACAGTTACATGAATGCTGGTATTGTTTGTAATAGTTGTTTCTGTTTTACAGGAGGAAAAGAGTTGCTGGATGTGGAAAAAGGCTCCTCCTCCTAGTAGGAAACCAGTTCAATGTGAAAATGAAGATGGAACAAAAGTGAGACCAGTCAGACCAAAGAGACTTACAATGTCTGTAAAGCAGAGGCTCTTGAAAGGTACACCTATCATTCAGCACTTTTCATTAGATATTTTCCTTTCTAATCTGATTTTACTATGTATTGTGTGATTGTTAGTGATTGCATATTCTTTTATTATATTTCTTAGTATAATGAGATGAGGTTTTTGATTGTGCAGAGTTTACATGTCATCTTTGTCAGGAAGTGATGAATAACCCGCTTACTACTCCATGCGCGCATAACTTCTGCAAGGCATGTTTGGATGGTGCCTTTGCAGGTCAATCCTTTACAAGACAGAGGACGTGTGAAGGCAGACGTACATTACGAGCGCAGAAAAATATAATGAAATGCCCATCATGCCCAACTGATATATCTGATTTCCTCCAGAATCCCCAGGTACGACTTCATGGGACCTGCTCAGTTTTATATGTGAATATCTACGAGTATAACTTAATAAGCACTAGGCTTACTATTCTGACTATAAATTCTTGTCTTACTCAAAAGGGTGTTTGTTTTGGCAGATTAATAGAGAGTTGATGAATGTAATCGAATCTCTGAAGCGCCAAATTGAGGAAGAAAATGCAGCATTGAGTGCTGATGTAGATGATGGCAGCTTAGATGGAAATGAGATTCTAGCTGAAACAGATAAAAGCATGGAGGATGATGAAGAAGGTGCACAGCCTGTCAATGAGACTGAAGCCAAGCAGACTAACAAGAGGAAGAGATCTGGCAGCATTGACAATGCATCATCACCCAAGAAATCCATTGACAAATCTGATGCTGTGCATAATCTTGAGGAAGTTGATCCTGCCCATACCTGAAGAAGCAAAATGGTGGCAACTGTTGGCTCTCATGTTTATTGTTGGATAGTTTTAGGTTAATTTTAGTTTTGGACTTGTATGAACTTGGTACATTAGTCAAAATTCCAATTGCATAGAATTTTGCTTTTATGTCAACCAATTGGTTTTCTATCGTAATCTTTTTGGATAGTAGATTAAAATTATGAATTGCAACCATTAATGATGGATATTTATTTTCTTTAACACCTTGCATCTCTCTGTATCTGCTTTCTGCTGAGGTCCCACCTAAGTTCAATATTTATTAACTTTGTAAAATATTCTAACAGATTCTTATGTAGCAGCAAAGATGAGGGCAAGAGTAAACACTGGGTATCATGAGATAAGATATGTTTTCCTCAAAGGACGTTTGGGTTTTAGATTTCTATTTGAACACCAATTGGGTGCCAGTAGGCTTCGACATCAAAGCAAGTTTGATATGGAATTGGAATTTGATAATGCACCAAGTTCATATATGGGTTCAAAACTAATATTAACATATCCACAATAAACAATGATTCATCCAGCTTGTTCAGAATCATCATTCCAGAACCAGCTTAGTTGCCACCATTTTGCTTCTTCTTCAAATATATGTTATAGCTCCATCAACCAACCAGTCACTTGTGGCTACTTGCAAACTGAATACTCAGGTATGGGCAGGATTAACTTCCTCAAGATTATGCACAACATCAGATTTGTCAATGGGTTTCTTGGGTGATACATTGCAATACTACTGGATCTCTTCCTATTGTGAGTCTGCTTGTTTTAGTTTCATTGACAGGTTATGCACCTTTATATCATCCTTCACACTTTTATCTATTTCAACATCTTCATCGGCTAGAATCTCATTGTTTCCATCCAATCTACCATCATCAACATCGGCACTTAATGCTGCATTTTCTTTCTCAATTTGGCGCTTCAGAGATTCAATCACACTCATCAACTCTCTATTAATCTACCAAAACAACATCCTTTTGAGTCAGCCAGCTTGTTCAGAATAATCATTCCCAGAACCACCTTAGTTGCCACCACTTTGCTTCTTCTACAAAGATAGGTTGTAGCTCCATCAACCGTCCAATCACTTATGACTACTCGCAAATTGAAAACTCAGTTGTGGATACTAAACATAGAAATGAGTCAATTCTTTCTAAGACTGACTAAAAATAAAATACGAGTTATATAAATTGGAATAGAGAAAGTACTTATTACTAGTGAGTTTGCTCAAAATACCTGAACTATTTTGTTATTTATCCTAGAGTAAATGGTCCTTTTGTGCAATGTCACCTAACTAGAATATTGAGATCTCTAGCAAAATTAAATCAATTTTACAAACTATTCCTGATATGGTATACTAGAAAATATGAAAAAGAATAAATAAGGTGAATTATGGAGGCATTGTAACCTAGAGGACAGTGATCTATGAGATTTCTAAAAATATTCATCTCTTATCCCTAATTTTATATCCTTGGATGAAGGAAATCCCACAAAAATGACCATTTTTCATGGATTTCCTTCATAAGTATATACACTTGATAAGATTTATACCAGTAAGTTGAAAACTACCTAATTAGGGTTGTTTTAAATGTAATTTGATGATGTTTTTAAAGGAAATTCTAATCCAACTTCTATAATATACTATATAAAAAATGATAAAGGAGATTTACAATTTGCTTTATGTAGAAGGATGACAAATTTTACAAGTTTATTTAATGAGGCTATGGTTTTGAAGAAAGGGTATGAGTTGTGTGTGGCGAGATAATTGCTACAAATTCTTTTGCTAAAACAATTGTGGGGGGGGGGGGGGGGGGGATGGGATTGCCCTTAGAGCAGTGCAATGTTTATATGGGGGTTTAGAGCTATGATAGAAGGAAACAATATACAAGTTCAGCACACATATCAAAGAAGGCAACACTATTAAATATATTTTTAGTTAACTAGTATTTTAACTTTGCATGTATACATAAGCAAGGAAGGCTAAAGGCATAATTATCTTAGAGAAATAACATGTTCTATATATGAGAATCAAATTATTTAAAATGCAGGCAACAAACAAAATGAGTCAGATATTATAGATCAACTATGACTAGGGGTGTTCACGGTTTGGATAAAAATCAATCCAAATTGAAAATCAAACCAAACTGATTAAATGAACCGATTTTGTTTAGGGTTTGGTTTAGTTTCAGACTTTTAAAAAATCGATAGTATTTAATTTGGTTATGATTTTGTTAAAAATCAAAAAACAATTGAACCAAACTGATAAATAATATACATAAATATTATTATTATATATACATAATATATTATTTTTATAAACAATTTTAAATGCCTAAGTACAAATAACTCGATGAGTAAATAATCCATAGATTTTGGTTTGTTTCGATTCAAATCGGTTGAAACAAATGACATAACAAAGCTACAAAAATAGAAATGAAAGAAAAGAAAATAAAATGACAGCCATTTTACCTTGCGACGAAGTCACCGATGACGAAGATGGTCACTGAAGGAGGTGACTTATTTTGGAATTCTTTTTAGTTCCCTTTTCAAAAGGTTGAAATAAACTCCAGTCAGATCTAAGTACAAAACACTCGATGAATAAATGACCAAAGTCGATTCAGATTGGTTGAAACAGATGACATAGCAAACCTACAAATATAGAAATGAAAGAAAATAAAATAAAATGACGGTCATTTTACCTACGGCGAAGTCATCGATGACGAAGATAGTCATTGAAAGAGGCAACTTGTTCTTTCTTTTCACTTTCATTTTCACAAGGCTAGAGTGAACTCCAGTCAGATCTAAGTACAAAGCACTCGTTGAGCAAATGATCCAAAGATTTTGATTTGTTTCGATTCAGATTGGTTGAAACAGATGACATAGAAATGTTGCAGGAATATAAATAAAGAAAACAAAAAAAAATGACGTTCATTTTACCTGTGGTGAAGTAACGGAGGACGAAGACGGTCACTGAAGGAGGCGACCTCTTCTGGAATTTTCTCAATTCCCTTTTGAGAATATTTTGATCCCCCCTTATGTTTTAGTTTTTGTACATTTTCTTAGGAGGGGTGGGGTGGGGTGGGCTGGGATTTAGCCTTTTTTTTATAATATTAAAAATAAAAAAAATGGGTGTAGTAATAGTATAATACACATAAATATGTCAAGTAGAGCATAAAGACTCACAATTTTTATTCGTCAAGTATCACATTAAATATTTTTTTTTCTATAGATGAATGACACTTACTTCTAACATTGTTTTGAAAACACAAAGATCAAAGTCATTTAATTAATTAAAGCTATCTCATATAGTTGTATTTAAGATTTGATTAATAAGTATACAAGTTCATTTAATATATATATGTTTCGTAAATGTAACAACAAATTTGATCAAAGAAATATTGAATTAAATAAGGTGTAACACCTCAGAATCTACTAAGCTAAGCTAGGGCTAAGTGGGAAGTCAAGAATTGGAGATAATAACCTTGACACCCTTCATGAAGGTCCCCACAACTAGTTGAGGGCACCACGACTTGTGCTGGTGCCCCTGGACCTAGGCAATGGGTAACCAAGGGATGCTCACCTCCCACGAGAGCTAAGATGACTCATGGTGGTCACCAAAGATCGTGGGATCATTCATGGCGGTGAGGCTGTCGCGCCCCGAGCCTACACTCTGGACGTGGACGACACTCAATGACCATTGCTGACCCCAAGCGAACCCTTGGTTGACTTACTTACTCAGCGGAACATTAATACAAGGTTAAGATGCAAACCTTTACCTTAACCAAAATGACAACTTAAATATGAAAATAAGTTAATAATAAAATTATGACCAAATAACTAACATCTGACCAACTATCTATGAAGCATATAATAAATGAGATGGATGTTGGGACAGGCCCCACAACATCCTAATGAACTAAACTATAAAGCAATGAAAATGGATCCTCCCGAAAACAAGGAGGTTCACCAACTGACTCTGAACTGGTTACTGGATCAACGATGCGCTAGAATGTCGATCGTAGTTACCTGGGTCTGCATCATGATACGATGTAGGCCAACTGGCATCAGTTTATTGAATGTACGAGTATGCGAGTTGGAATGCTAAACAACAACTTAAGCTTGAAAAGGAGTTAGAAGGAACACTTACCTTGACTCTACTTAACTCATGAATAGCATAACTCAATATAACTAACTCATTTCATTATATAGCCGTTTAAAGACATGTGAAATGTAAAGATAAGTTGTTTAAAACATGGTTTTCAAATTTGTGTGTATAAAAAGATACAAAATAACTCTGAGATGTATGTAAAAATACAAAATAAACTGATGTAAACTCATAATCTTAATAAAAGACATATCATGCTTCCTCTCAAAGTCTACTTGTGCAATGCATGAATGAAGTCTCATACCCCCATTCATACTAAGCAGAACCCTTGAAGGACAATGCAATTACTAATATGAGAGTTTCTATAACCGACAACCATCACTTAAGAGCTATAATGATGATACAACGATCTACCTCACGATGCCAGTGCGTCCTATACCTGGCCAAAGGTATAAGGCCTGAATTGCCTAGTTGATCCACTAGTAAACTGTGAAAAGGATTCATTTAAAAAGTATGACCCTTTTCTACCCATGATGGTTACATGGTTTTCATATAGACTTGAGTTAATATGAAACTCGCATCCTCACATCAGTGCTCAATACTACTCCCAAAAATATACTTATCTTGTATGTTTTAAAAACAACTGTTCCTGTGATTTGAGATAAGTTCTCAAAAACTCAGCTCAAAGGTTATCTTGGAAATCTCAGTTTCCCCGCTTGCTTCATTTTATAAAGCTATAACTCTTTTCTGAAAACTAGCCCGAAGGCTCTTTGGAACACTTAGTTTCCTTACTTATTTAAATGTGAAAATTTTTTAAATCTCTTTGGGGATACTTAGTCCCCTTATACTTATGAAGAAAAGAACTTCAATTTAACTCTTTACTCTTTACTTAGCTTGAAACTTGAGTCATGAAACAACTCTTCAAGAAATAGTTAGTTCCCTTATATTTCTTTGAAGGAAAAACTTCAACTCTTTACTCTTTACTTAACTTGAAACTTAACTCTTAGGGAATACTTAGTTCTCTTATAACTTTTGAGAATTGAACTCAACTCTTTAATCTTTTCTTAACTTGTAATTGAGTCTTAAAACAAATTTAACATGTTTTATAAA